GTGAGGGCTTCATTTGCATAACATGCGGATTATCAAATAGTTGTGTTAAAGAGAAAAAACTCCTTCCACTTGCCACAGTTGAAGGTGAAGCACAAAGCATCTGTAAAGAAGGCTGGCTGGACTTCGTAACTGGATTAAAAGAAAATGTGTTGAGAACGTAAGTGTGACTAGTTACCTTGTATTAATTTTGGCACTCACCAAATGGTGAATTTTTCGTCTTCTGAAAGACTGTTATTCATGATGGATATTGAATATATTGCAGAGTAAAAGCACAAGATACATTTAAATTAGAAAACACCTGAATATGGAACGAGATGAGCAATAGTTTTTGTAATGGATAAACTAAAACTCTGATTTATCTTTTAATTAGCTATTAAAGTTCTGATTTATATTTTGATGACTCCCATTCCATGAAATATTGTTGATAATATTCTGCTGCTTTGCAGACTAATCTGATGGTATTCCAAAAGTAGGTTGTTGTCTGAGAGAGATGTTACAAGCTGTTACTAGCAAAAGTGCTTGTTTGAATATGGATTAAAGTCATCATAGACTTGATGATTTGAAGTGACATATGTTTTTGGAATAGAAAGAGATTTTTCTACTTCTATTACTCATTTGCTGGTTACATGACTACCATGGCTTAGGTTTGTCTTTGTGTAATGAAGTTTGCTTTGCAAGACATAGATCCATCTGTTCACTCACAAAGTTATGAGAAAGAAGCACTTGAAGGGTCCTTAAGGTTCATTCACTGGGTATGGTCAGTGGAAAGCAGCACCATACTTAAGCTTCTAGGGAGCCACTGCTATTGTGATATGCTCAATTTTGAAAAGAAGATGAGTGAGCAGAACATCTATCAACCTGCATTTCTTTAGGTCCAGTATTCTATTAATTTAATCATATCTTACAATCTTACAAGGTTGTCTGTATTTATGTCTCTAATAGGATTACAAACACAATTTCTAAAATAAATAAGGAGTTTGAAGGCATTTTTTTGCTATTTTTTTTTCTTTTCTTCCTCTCCTCACAATGCAAACATCTAAGTCGCCATCAGAAACCCAGGTCTGGAAAAGAACTATTTATAGGTTTTAAAATTCAGGATTCATAAAATGAAATATTTTCCTGTGTAGTTACAATTAACTTTGACAGCAGACCTGAGCAACATGCACACAAACAGCAAATGTTTGTGCCAAACAGGCAAATACGATTACATTTTACTTCACCTGGGCATTTACATTTTGCGTTAGCAGTTCAGGCCAAAAATTTGGATTATGTGCACCTTGATATATAACAGATTATTATTTTTTCTTCTAAAACAGCTATGAATCAATTTGGTAATTATTACTTTTCTCAGTTTCACAGTTTTACTCTAAGCGATCTTGTTGATTTAAATGATTAATGTTGAAACTACTTATCTGCATAACAATTAGTCCACCCTTTACAAAAACAGGTCATTATTCAGGATGTGTTCTGAGCACAGTGGCAATTAACACCCTACTTTTTATGATTCTAATTCTAGCTTGATTATTTTAAAAATAATATCATTACATAGGTAGCCTAATTAAAAAATTAATAAAATATTTGCCTCCAGTTTGCACGTTTTCAGCATGGAAACATTTTCTTTTACATAAAAAAGCAGGTTATTCTTATTGCTTGTCAGAAGGGAGTGATGATTATTTCAGTTTAACTCTGTACCTTTAACTAATGCTGTTATTTCTTGTTTTTCAAATTAAAGTGTTGAGGCTGACGGTAAATGTGCCTGGGGCAGCCACAATAGAATGTAACAGAATCATATATCCTCTTTCACCTGACCTACAGACAATTTTTTTTCTGGTAAGTACTAAAATAAAATAGGTAATATGTAATGCACATATGTGTGATGAATGCAGTAAAGTGAACATGTAAGTAGGATTGTACTTACAAAGGTGGACTATTCTTAAAAGTATTTGTTGACTGAATTTTTTTCCTCATAGAAAAATTTCTTTTTTGTTCTGTCTGTCTTTATTCGCTGTATTTTGCTTGTATAATTCAAATAATATTTTAAATAATTCTTAAGACTGTGGTTTAGTCTTACCTTTGAGTACTCACATACTGCTTTCAAAATAAAAAGAAATGTGACAATGTGGATAAAGTGGAAAAAAAGTAAGCTAAAAAACGCAAGGCTTATATATTTAATATTAAGAACATAAGTGTTTTTGAGGGCACATGCATAGACATTTGCCCATATGTAGTACATAAGTGATGTTAGAACACACACAACACTGTACATACATGGAAATCTATTTTTTTATATTTACCTAAGACATTAAGGCTAAATAAAGACATAAATGTGCAGATTATAAATTATAAAGATGTTTACTGAGTGTTAGAAAGATTTAAGTCGAAAAGAAAATTGTGTTTATAAGAATTCTGATTCAACTTTCTCAGTAGCCAGTGCATCTTCTTAATAACTTCAGCGGATGCCATTTCAAATTCTAAAAAGGAAGTCAGCTCAATAGATTTAAATCAAGTCTGAATCTGATCTCTGCAATTCTGATTTCAGTTTGAGTCCTTTGCTACTACCCTCATACCAACCATCCTCAGGAATCTTTTGCTGGACAGTGGAAGTAATTTTCTGAATAAATGTGTGGCTGGTGGTGCCTTTGTGAATTCCTGTAGAGCCAGGGAGACTATACAGCTCTCCTGTAATGAATAGCTGCTGTTCCCTGTAGGCTCTCTGCTGAGCTCTTCTGAGAACTAAACAGCCTTTTCTTGGTTTTAATCTGAAGAGATCTCCCTTCTTAGCCCTCCTTGTAGGCTGCATAAAACACCTGTGCTCACTTTCTTCTAAATGCCTTCAACCAGTAATCTTCCTTCTATACCTTATCCTTAATGTTTGGGAGTGACTTTGTCTAAGTGGAATGAAAAGTGACTTTTACAGAGAAGATATGCTGTCAGGCTCTCTTTGTATATTTTAACCACGTAAGTCTCAAAAAGATATGAATGGTAGATACCTAGAATGGTGTTTTTCTTGCAACAATAAAATAACAGTTTCTAAAATGATAACCTAGACAGGTACCCCTTTAGTGCTGTCTAACTGAAAAGTTACTGCAGTTGCAACCAAGTGCAAGGCCACTGTCTGGCTGGATGAGATCAGAGAGTGTAAAGCAGCAGATGGTGACTAGAGTCGTGCAGAGATGGGCTAGAGGACCACAGCCCCAGGTGAACTGCACAACTTAACCTGCTTGCCTTTTACATCTCTGTAAGTCTGAGAGACACCTTAAGTTGTCTAAAATTTGTTTCAGAAGGTGTTCAAGTACTTTCAGGCTGTCATATTCCTGCAGCTTCTAAAAATCAGTTTCCAAAAGCCAGCAGAGGAAGCTGGAGAGGTGGTTAAAGATTTGTCTAAAGGGCAGGAAATTCAGAGAAGCTGTGATGCCTTACCAACATTGTGTAGTACATGTAGTATATCTGCAACCCTCTGTTGTAAGCCAGCATCCCCACATGAGTCATTCTCATTATGCTTTTGGGGAGTGTTCTGTCCTTTCCCTCCTGCAACTTCCCAGTTATATCTGGACTTCATCTGTCCCATTTTCACAGATTATCTGTCTCTCTCTCTCTTTCAAAATTAGGTAATTCCCAACCAGGAAAGTTTTACTTGTCTAGACTTAAAGTTGACCCATGTGCTCTTACTAATTAGTAGCACAGCTTAGCAAAAAGCAGACAAACTCTAGATAAAACTGCCATTTACAACCTTAGCATGGGACCTCATGTCATCCAGTCCTTGAAACTACTTCATTGCTGATAGGTGCAGTTCTCACGGAGCAGCTGATGCAAAAAACAGAAGGACTGAACTCATGCAGGGGAATGCTGAGGAATTAAATCTCCTGCCCATGGGTTCCTGCATGAGGTCGAACAAGTCATTTAAGCCCACCTTTGCACATGTGGCCACCAATGACATGTTCCCCGTCTTATTTTTGTGTGACTTTAGAGTCTGATCTGATTTGCAGAAGTTTGAGCTTGCATGCAACCAGTCAATGAATTTAATTCTTAACACAACTGAAGGCCTTTGTAATTCTAAGCACTCTTAAAAGTGATGCTGAGAGCAGTAGGTGTCTCAAACTGAACATCTCAAGTAGATACTTATATTCTAATGACTCAGTGCTCAGGTTCTTTTCTTGTAAATAAATGTAGTAATACCTCCTCACCACAAGGTGTTGTGTAAATTAATTAACATTTGTAAAATAGTTAGGCATCACAGTGATAACAGAGAAAACAAATTACTTTCATAGAGTGCAGTATACAACACTGCACACTGAACACTGCACTCTAAATCTGTGCACCAAACACAGACAAAACACTAGTGCTCAGTCTGTTCGTCCATTGTGTACTATCTTCTACACTATAGGAAGATATCATTCTGGCACTCTTCATTTACCTCACTAGTGTAATAAAAAAGAGAAAGTAATGTGATATTAAAAGTGCTGAGATGCACTGATAAAATGCCAGAGTGGAAAAAAAAGAGTCTGTCTTATATTACTGTTATGAAGCATACTAAGGTAGCGCTGTTTATTTGTTCCATATTTCCCTCAATACACTGATTGCCATTGTCACACAGAATTTCTGAATGTAAAATTTAATTTACTCTGATTTTTTGTGGTGCAAATTCAATGTGAAGTAAGAGTCACATATTTTCATACATCATTCATTACCCTATGAATAAACATTCAATGTATAAGATTGTGCTCTTAATGGTACTGATACAAACAATCTATTTTCTAAAATTGTACATTCTGCTGCAGAGATGTGTTATTTGCCGAGATGCTCTTGTGAATTGTTGATATAGTTGAAGTGATGAGATTCTGTTTAGATTAAATGTTTTATTTTCAATTGTGTTTTTTTACTTGTTCACATTTCTTGTGCTGGTTTACCAATCCAGTCTATTTCATTTTGTTTTCAGAAATCCTTGGGAAAGTATTTTGAAGTTCTTCTCAACATATTTTTCTGTGAAGTGTACTGCCAAAATGAATTTTGTAAGCACTTAATTGATAAACTGTATTAGTACATCAATAAAGCAATGAATCTGGAAGTCCCAGTTCTTTGAGACTGCAGATCCAAACATCCTAATTTCAGGATGTTTCAGGAGTGATAAGCTGAAGAGGGTTCTGGTAGCAGAGTTCACTGTCAAAGACCACTGTTTATTGGGTTTGCACACTTTTAATGTAACTACAGGTTTGGTGTTTGTAGTGCAGGTAACTCTGTCTCAGGCTAGTTATCCTGGATTGCCTTTCTAGCTGAGTAGAGAAAAGTACTCATTTTTGGGCCTGATTTAGTCAAGCTACATTAGTGTGATATGAATAACATGCTAGAAAGGTCTATTCCACTTCCTTGATGGTAAAGGAAGACTAGACCCCTACTTCAACTTCAGACTTTTACACTCTGGAGTCTTCTGTGAGTTTTGTGACAGCAGACTAGTCCTTTCTGCATAATATATTTAAATATGGAGACCTTTGGGACAACCAAAAAGATTACTTCCACATTCATATTTTAAGTATGAGTTTATGAAATGTCCTAGACAGTTCTTACAAGTCTCCTCTGCAGCATTAAATGCATTTGTAATTGTGGTGTGTGGTTGGTCATCTATCGTGTTTCTACTATATAAGAATTAAAGATTAATATCTTCATCTAATAACTGTTGATCTCCTTTTTTACAGACAGGCCTTGATACCACAGATTATCCCAATTATCCAGACTATTCAGACTATCGTTCTCTAATCATGCAACCTTGTTCTAAGCTGGGAGTCAGGAACTTCACAAAAGCATTTCTGCCAGTTGCATATTCATTGATTTGTATCATTGGCCTCGTTGGTAACATCTTCGTGGTGATGACCTTTGCTTTATATGAAAGAACCAAGTCCATGACGGATGTGTACCTCTTCAACATGGCCATAGCAGACATACTGTTTGTTCTCACTCTTCCACTGTGGGCAGTGAATTATGCTGCTAATGAATGGATTTTTGGTGATTTCATTTGCAAAATTGCTCGAGGTATCTATGCAATCAACTTCAGCTGTGGCATGCTGCTTTTGGCCTTTATCAGCGTGGACCGGTACATTGCTATCGTACAGGCTACAAAGTCGTTTAAACTCAGGGCAAGAACACTCGCATATAGTAAACTCATTTGTTTGGCTGTGTGGGTATCATCAATTTTAGTCTCTAGTTCCTCTTTTATTTACAGTGAAAGTTACACTTTCTCTATCAATGAAACCAAAGAGATTTGTGATCACAGATTTGACAAAAAGTCTGAAAGCAAAATGCTGAAATCATTGCTGTTGTGGTTACAAGTTGGATTTGGATTTTTTATACCTTTCATATTCATGTTTTTTTGCTACACCTTCATTGTCAAATCCTTGCAACAAGCTCAGAATTCCAAAAGAAACAAAGCAATCCGTGTGATCATATTAATTGTAGCTGTTTTTCTAGTTTGCCAGGTACCTTATAACATTATTCTTCTTGTGACAGCTGTAAACATGGGGAAGATAGACAAATCTTGTGAAAATGACAACATATTGGCTTATGCAAAATACACCACTGAAGTCATAGCATTTTTACACTGTTGTGTGAACCCTGTGCTCTACGCATTTATTGGAGTGAAGTTCAGAAGTTATTTTGTGAAGCTAATGAAGGACCTATGGTGCAAGAGGTACAAGAAATACAATAAACGTAGTTCAAAGACAAGCTCTGATACTTATCATTCAAGACAGACTAGTGAAATTCTGACTGACTCTGGATCTTCTTTTACTATATAACAGACTTTGAACAACATTATTACTGAAGGACTCTTCTCACTGAGTAAGCCAAACCAGTGTCACTGTGCATGTGACAGCAAGTCATTTGAGCTTCTCTGTGCTTATATGGGACCTTCCATGATCTACAACTCCTTTCAGGAAACCAATTAAGATAAAAGAATAACACTGTCCTGTGTAAAACTGAAATCTTATTCACTTCTCTTAATGCTCTTCTGAAGTACATTCTCTCAGAATTTTAGGGTAAGTGAAGTTTACAGAGGAAGCCTCCTCATTTTGTAAGGGAAAATTGCACCTCATCTGTCCTGCAACACTGAAATGTCCCCAGAGTAATAAGTAAATGAATAAGGTTATGTTCAGGCTCATTCTTACATTTATATCTGTTAATTACTTCTACCTGTAAATCCTATTTAAGTGTAAGTCTCCACTGCGCTTATATTGCAGACAAGTCATTTGTGACAATACTAACCCATTTTGAGCAAAGCAGAGCAAGGAAAACAAACAGAGAAATTAAGAAAGAGGCTCAAGGCTGCTGACAGAGCTGGGCTTAAGTGTTTGTTCTTGTAAATATTTGGCCAGTTCTATACTCCACCTGCTCATCAGGACTTGCCTATATTAAGGCTGAGGCTGTTCAAAGCCAACAGTGACACATCTTCTAAAGAGAATATTAGGAAAAAAAAGAAAATTATTATTTAAAGAGAATACCAAAATACCATCAGAAAGGTTTTCTGACATCTCCTGATATATCTTCTGAACAGAGAATGGAGTTTTGCTTAAGAGTTTCTTCTCTTTGTTTGGCACAGGATTCAGGTGCTACAATCTAACAAAGCTGATAATCTGGTGAATGCCTCTTTGTGAAAAGTTGTCTCTTTCTAATGTGGCAAACTGTCTGGAACTGCAACTATTCCAACACTTTTTGTTGGAACAAAATATGATTAATTTCTTTGTATTTAGCTACTGTTCGCAAAGTTTCCTTGGGAATAGATTTACTAGCTCAAATATGCATATATATGCATATGACTCACTATGAATATAGGAATATTTATGAATATAATGAATGCAATTATTTTTATCCAGACATGACTTTTCAGCAAATCCTAAGTGGATCTTAGTTGATCTTCTGCTCATTGAGTGAGCTTCACCACACTGTAGCAGTCATGGTGGGATAGTGAGGTAGATAGGAGCAGAAGGTGAACGACACGGGGTCAGGATTAGAGGACAGAAGAGGATCAAGATCCATTGAGGAAACACACTGATGTGGCACACAAAGCTAGTACTGCTTTGGCTGCTGCAAGCCATCCTTCTTTCCACTGCAGTGTGAGGTTTTTAAATATCAGTGCCAGATATGATAAAAATTGCATAAATTTGTCATTACCAAATAGCAATGTAGGCAAAAGTATAATAGAAAATTATGTAATTACATGTGCATGTATTTTGTGTACACAGAAATTATGATTTTCTGGAAGGGAATTCAACAAATAAAATATGTAACTGAAAAGGGAAAAATTGCCTCAGATTTAAGAGTTTCTTTCTACATGTATTGCCGTGAAACATTCTCTTATTTAGTGCAAAACCTCTCATATCTGAATGGTGCAGCATCTGTCCATCTGAGACTGCCTGAAGGATTGTACCTTAGAGCAGGAAGTCCAGGGCTGAAGGAGCTATGGCAGATCTTGGGCAAAACCTTTCAAGGCTCAAAAGCATATTCCCCACCTCCTGCAGTCCTACTTCCATGCCTGCGTTGGCCTTTATCCACTGACCAACCCAAGCACTGCTCCAGTGAGGTTAAAGGGCAAGGCAGCAGCCAAGAGGCAGTCGCTGACCTGTCATTGTCCCGGTCCCACCAGAGGAGGCTTGCTGACAGAACATGGGAGAGGGCAGGGCAAGCGTGCCATAACCTTTGTGAAGTGTTTGTTTCCTGGCTGAAAGATCATCCTCCTTCAGGGGTGAGGGGGAAGAGAGGAAAGCTGGGTCCCACAGACCAGGGCCTTCCCCAGAGAGAGGGGTCTCTGACCTGACTGCCTCACAGGTCACCAGCCCCTGGTAACTGTGAGGGACCCACGTGAATTGAAAGTGATGGTGGAACATCTGCCTCAGGTGGGAACAGGCGCAACCTCCTGGATGCTGGATTGTGGGGGGGGAAGTGCTCACTGGAAATTACACTGAAAGGTAGAAAATGTACCTAGCCTCTCTCCGATATTTGGGGGAGAGAAGTGCTGCTGAGGGAAGAAAAATGTGGTACACGTACGTGACTAAAACAGCTTTTGGGCTACGAATTGTGCTGGTGTCAAGGCCTTGACAAAAGTCCTGTTCGAGGTGCAGCTGAAATCTTGATTGCTATGACTGACCACTCTGTCTCTGGGAAAAACAGGGGTAAAGGACAGTGTGGACTCCTGTGGTGGTTTAACATGGATAACTGCCAAGTACTCACTGCTTTATCATTCCCCTCCTCAACTGGACAGGGAAGAGAAAATATAATTAAAGGCTCATGAGTTCAGATAAGTGCAGGGAGAGATCACTCACAGATTACTATCATGGAACTTGGGCAAATTAGTTGAATTTATTACCAGTCAATTTCAGAGCAGGATAATGAAAAGTAGAACAAATCTTAAAAACATCTTATTCCCAACCCTTCCTCCTTCCCAGGCTTAACTGTTCCCAGTTCTTTACCTCCTCCCCTGCAGCAGCGCAGGGAGACAGGGAATGAGGGTTACAGTCAGTTCATCACATGTTCTTTCTACCACTGCTTTCCCCTCAGGGAGAGGAATTACTCCCCTACTCCAGCGTGGAATCCCTCCCACAGGAGACAATCCTCCATGAACTTCTTCAACACGAGTTCTTCCCACAGGCTGCAGTTCCTCATGACCTGCTCCAGCATGGGTCCCTTTCTATGGGTTGTAGTCCTTCAAGAAAAGGCTGCTCTAGTGTGGGTCTCCCACATGGTCACAAGTCCAACCAGGAAACCTTCTCCAGCATGGCCTCTGCACTCCCTGGGTCCTGCCAGGAGCCTGCTCCATTGCTGGCTTCCTATGGAGTCACAACCTTCTTTTGAACATCCACCTGCTCTGATCTGGGACTTCTCCAGGGACTGCAGAGCAGAGTGGGTCTCTGCTCCACTGTGGACCTCTGTGGGGTGCAAGGGGAAAGCCTGCCTCGCCATGGTCTTCATGCTGCAAGGAAATCTTGGTTCCACTGCCTCAGATATCTCCTCCCCTTCCTACTTTGCTGACCTTGGTGTCTGCAGAGTTGATTCTCACATATTCTCATTCCTGTTTTCTCTGTCTGCAATTACTTCTGCACAATAACTTTTTTTCCTACTTAACTTTGTTATCCTTCTTAACTATGTTATCCCAGAGGCTTTGCTACCACCACTGATTGGCTTGGCCTTGGCCAACAGTGGATACAATCTTGGAGGAGCCGGTTGGCATTGGCTGTGTCAAGACATGGGGGAAGCTTCTCAGAGCAACCACCCTTATAGCCCCCTTGGCTGCCAGAACCTTTCTCTGCAGTGGAGGACAAGAGTCCCACTGCTCGATGTCCAGCAGCAGGTGGCCGTAGTGGCAGACTGGCCAGCAGATGTGGCTGGTGGGCCCTCAGATATTGTCATTCTTTTGGTGGCCAGGTCAGCAGAACCAACATGCGAGCTAGGGGCTGATGTTGGTAGTTCAGGGCATGAAAAGAGCACAGATTTAGAGGAACCTGGGAGCTTGGGAAGTTTGTGTTCCTTTTACTGCTTGTGGAGTAATGTTGCTATTGTAAAATTGCTATGCATGCTGCATTTTATTATGATTTTCATGTTGTGGTAACTGTGCATAACAAGCACATTGCAAGATTTTCTTTTTTGTTGAGTGTGTCCCATCTGGGATTTTTGGAAAGAAAAGACTTGATTTCACAGAGGTTCTCATTTCCCATCATATTTAAAGAGAGAAGGATACATACAGTGTTGCGTCATGTCTTACACACAGAAGATGTGGCTGATAAGTTTTGAGAAGTTGATTCATATCTTCCTCCACCTGCGGACTGGGGCTGCATTGTGGTACTGCCTGCACATACAAGGTCTGCTTGTTAGTGGGTTCCATGCTGCTTTTGGTGGGTCCATGGTGGGTGGCCCTGCTTTACACTTCCCATTCTAGCAGTTCAGAAGGAGGTAGGTCATCAGTGCAAGCTGTTAAATAAAGGCACAACATCTCAGTGCAGATAGTCTAAAGCTAAATCTGTTTTCTGACATATATAATCTTCACTTAAGAGTTGGACTTGATGATCCTTGTGGGTCCTTTCCAACCCAGAATATTCTGTGAAACTTGCCATATGAAAATCTTAAAAATGGATCTAAATTATTATTCATCTCCCCATAAAAATGGCAACTTTCTTCCCATGGTATTTAAATTTCATGTTCTGTCTATTTGTATATTAATTTTCTTAGAAGCATGATCCCTATAAGCTGGTGAGCCTACAAGAGAGTCACAGTGGACAGACAAGATCAAAGTCATTTGGGCCTTGTGAGTAGCAAGGAAAGGCAAAGGAAAGAAAATGAAAATTATAGGTAAAGGTAGGTAACAGTTGGAGATTGTGAGTGGTGACTGAAAGAAACAGTCTAGAGAGGAACATTTTTGTTATGGAAGGTTATTAATAATGATTAAGTACATAGCAGATATAACTCTGCTTTGAATCTTTGTAGGGCAATCTTGTTATTTGCAATTGTGGAAACTTTGGGGAAATTTTCTTGTGACTGAAGCAAAAAATGGTACTTGAAGCTTTAAGAATTTGGACACAATTGGGAAAATTTTAGATTAAGTGAAAATGATAACAGTTTCAAAATGTCAAAACAGTTTGTCTCATGAAGCATCAAAAATGTTTTGATATTTCTGATTATTTTTCAGATACTATAATAAGTGCCAAGGAAATTATTGCACAAAACCACTGAAAGTGGTTCAGAATCTGCTTTTTTATGTTGCTGCCAAGTAGTAATCAGGGTATTCCCTCCAACCACCTCCTGTGGTAGAAGGCATCAAGCCACTACCATCACTTCTGACTTAAGAGCTCATACCCTCTTTGAAACAGTCTATCCAAAGTACAGCTGGAAAAAAAAAAAAGAAGAGAGAATATTTCACCCTTAAATTGTCCGACACCAATAGATCTTATTTCTCCTCTGGACGATGAAAGTTGAAGGTCCTTCAGGCTGAAGAGGGAATTAAATGACATCTCTAGTGTGGGTGAACAACTCAAGACCTGGCGGTAATGATGTGACCACTACGCAAAGTGTTGTTCTCCAATCTGCTTCAAGCATAGTTCAGGTCCTTTTAGGATGAGTTCCTTAAAAAAAAATTCTTCATTTTTGATTGAATGAACTCCATTATCTAACCTGAGTTGAAAAGTGTCTAGGTTTTATTTACTCAAGAAAACAAAATCTAGTAGTTAAAAAGTTATTTTGATGGTGAAAATTTTTATCCACAGAGTCAGGATTCCTTTCCCTACAAACCAAAAAACCCACTGCCTGTACAATTTTCTAGCTGATATCCATAGTCAGTTTTCTTTGGATTGATGGTATCTTGTAACCCAGTTGTATATCCTCATGCACCATTCATATTTCTAACAAAATCCTCACCTTTCATTTATTTTCATTGTCTTTTTGTTAGAAATATATATTAAATTACTCTCTTATCAATTTGGTCTATATGTATTAGGCTGAGCTAAACCAGTCAAACTAATATTCTTCTATCAAAACTTTCTGAAGCTCTTATTTCTTTTTAGTATGGCTTTGTCGTTCCTAGACATTTATTTTAGTTAATACAAATTAATGTATTGATATGTATTTAATCTCTACTAACTGGAATTAATTTATAAATTTGTAATTCACTGAGGATTAAGGGAAGTAGAGGACACTTATCTTCTTCCTTTTTCTGTAAGAAATACTTGCTGAACACTGAAGTAAAAATTTTTCTTCAAAATAAGAAATATATGAACTTGATTTATGCCAACCACGGACAACCATGATGCTTCAGTAAAACACACAGTAGTATTATTTGTGAGGAATCTGTGCTTAGTCCTATCTCATGGTTGGGAATTATAAAGTAAAAAAGCTATCCAATTACGAGAAATTTTTTTTGTTTGACTTTGTTGATTTCTGTTTGTTTGTTTGTTTCTTTCTTATCCTACATTGGATCATTCAGCTATGGTTTTATTGTGGTTTATGGTCCCATTTCTGAAAAACTTTTACAGAAATATGGAGCCATTAAAGCAGTTACAAATGGAATTCTACTTGCTGTCACAGATTTTCTTCACTTAGCTTTTTGCTATTCAGATTCAAACCTGTTAATTTCTTGTAGGTATCAGATCAAGCTTTGCTTCTATTCCATGTGATTTGTTATTATTTTTTGCTAGTATTAAATATGTTTGTATAAAAATGATCTCTATGTTCTGTATTCAATTACAGAAATACAGAATGGAAGTGAAAAAGAAATACTAAGATACAGAAAATGTACTGTTGGGTAGAACACATGAATGCTGAGTACTTATAGTTGATGGTTTGATTTCTAAGAGAGATCCATTTATTAAACTTAAAAGAGTCTTATTAATGCATCTCAGGTAAATTATGATGTATTTTAACCATCTGTCTCATAAAATTATAATAGAAAAATATAAACACCTTTGTATTTATTTTTCTGATTCAGATTCAAAACAGATTCAGCTCATAACAACAGTGGTAAAAATTGTACTGTTTTCAGAGGCGTTTCCCAGTTTATGTAATTTTCAGATCAGTGGTTATGTATGTTGGTTTTAAACTTCAAAAGCAACTGCTAGTAATAAAGAACAGTATCAGCAGGGATAGAAATAGTCAAAACAGATATTGAAGGACCTGGTGTACCTTTTACATTGTAGTTAATTTGGCATAAACAGTGTCTCTTGTGTGTACTCTGGGATTTTCATAAAAACAGGGTTTTAAAAAAGAATTACCAATGCAGGAAACATTTTCTACTTTGTTTTCATTAATCTCTGTCTTCGACTGCACGAAGAGGGATTCATTACAAATTATTTCTAACTGCTGTTGTGCTCTCAACAATTTTCAAGTTTTCTCTCTCAAGTTTTCTATAAATATCTGTTGATTTGTAATTTAAATTTAAAATATGTTACTGAAGAAAGCCATAGAAATCGTGGTTTTAAAATGGCTTTATATCTCAGGCTAGGGGATTTAATTCCTTTTCACTTTTTCTGTTCTTTGTATTTATTTATGTAAAGGTACAAATTGTTGTTTTGTTCTAATGATACAAATCTGCAGATACATGTTAACTTGCATAAAACTGTTGCTAAAGTTGCAAAATATTAGACATAAAACCTGAATGATAGCTAATTCCACTCACTTGATTTCTGTGTCAAATACTATCTAAAATGTTTGTTCATTTGAATTTGAATTCATGCTCAGATTATCCTACATTGACGTTCTGTATCTTAAATCTCTATAGATTACTTTTAATAGACATGCTTTTAATTGCTTAGTTTAGTCTTACAAAAAACATCCCATAATATCCCTTAATATTCCATAGCACCAGGCATCAGAAAAATCTCATGGGAAAAACGCAAAATGAGAATATCAGTTGTCATAGGATCTGACATCAACTGAAACACACTCATATTTACAGGGTTCTGTAGAGAGTTTTGTTCTCCCAGATATGGACAGTCACTATCAGATGCATATTCTCTGGGTGGGGAAGCTTATGCAGAAGAATTGCGGACAAAAAGAAGTTAGAACGAGATTCTAAATTATCTTTAATTAATTAGGGGCCAAAGGTCCAGCTCTCAAAATAATGTTGCTCATGGAAATGTGTCTTGCAAAGGAAGTAAAGGTCAGTGATAAGTGGCAGAAAGTCAGTTTTGTTGGTGTAAGTTGTATCCACGATATTGTTGTCACAGTCTGTTATAGCCAGTGTAGCTCCACTGGCAAAGTGCTCTTCTTGGGAACTTCACTCAAGGTGGGCTGGTAGTTTCAGATGAAAAAGTGGATGTCATGGGATAAACAGACTGAGTCAATTATATGGTATCACCTAGTTCCAATTTAAAAACTGTCTGCAAATCTTTGTTACTGACTTCTTGACACAAGTATGGAGGCTTGGGTGTATTCGGAAACTGTTTGGGCTTTTCGTCAGTCTGAGTTTAGTAGCCAGTAGGATATACAAAAGTGCCACTCTTCACTGATTAAAAATTTTAGAAATTTTACATTTAATATCATAACGTTGTGAGACGTTGCTACTTTCCTAAGAATCCCTGGAGATTACTTCAGAGAGCATGCAGTACTTTAAAGTGTAAAATTGTTTTCATTGTTACATTTTTGAAAATCATTTATGTGCTTCGATTTTAGTCTCTGCGCATTCGAACTGGTACAAGATTTCCCTCTAGTGGTTAAAACACGTACGAAGTGTCTGAAGGAATAATCTTGGGGGAATCATATTAGAGTGCAACGTAGTTCTATGTTTTACCATTTCCCCAAGTCAGATCTTTTTTCATTGTGGGCTTGAGTTGACTTCGTGTAACAGAGAATCTGTACCCATTTATATCAGTGCACATTACCAGTTACTTAAACTTTCTCGATCAGATGGAGGAGTACTGTCCAGTTAGCAGAAATAATTT